AATTTTTATTAGGTACCCAAGTTGCTTTAGGTCCTTCATAATTAGTGCCCTTCTTAACCCACACATAATGCCCGCTTGCTATACTGAAATTTCTAACATAGCATGCATTAGGTGTATGGCCGATAATACCACAATAGAAACAAGTAGGTACAAGATTACTCTTATATCTAGGAACCAAAGATTTCTTTTTCGTAACCTTTTTCTTTTTATGATAATGATGCACAACTTTAGGCTTGCTCACTTTCTCTTTAGAAGTTTGATCACTAGCCTTAACAAAGATTGTCTTGTTAGAACTTGGTTTGGAAAATTTTGAATATCCAAGTCCGCTTTTATCGTTTGAGTATCTTTGTTGGCTAAGGGCCCCTTCTAAACCAATTTGTCTTTTTTCGTATCTTTTAAGAACTCTTTTAAGTTGAACAATTTGGAATAAAAATGACTCACAATTTTTGCATACAAAGTTTTGTTTCTCTTCACTAACAATTTTTTCTTTTTCATCCTTTTCATCTTTTTCATTCTTTTCCATAATATTTACTTTTTCTTCTAAAGATGATATTTGTTTCTTTTGTGAAGATATGGTTTTACGCAAAACTTTGCATTCATTTAATAGTTCGTTTATAGCCTCTTGAGCATCGTTATCGTAAAGTGAAAAAAAAGTACTAACCTCATCATCTTCGTCGTCAGAGTGATGAGAAGCCATCAATGCCAAGTTTGCACTTTCGTCGCTTTCAGATTCGGATGATGAACTAATGTCATTGTTCTCCCATGTAACATAAGCCTTTTTGTTCTTTGTCTCCTTTTTGCCTTTGAATCCATTCTTCTTTGAAAGTCTTGGACAATCCGGTTTAATGTGACTTTGCTTCCCACATTCATAGCATGTAACATCTTGATTTGATGTGGAAGTCTCCCTTTTCTTGAAGTGTTTCTTCCTCTTTGCATAGTTGACGGGTTTGTCACTTTTGTTGAAGAATTTTCCAAGTTTCTTAACTAGTAACAAAGAAATTTCATCTTCCTCTTATGCATCATCATCTTGTCCTTCTTTTGAATCTACTTTTAAAGAAATGCCTTTAGACTTTTTCTCTTGATGTTCATGTTTCTCAAGACGACCAAGTTCTAACTCGTGCTCTTGAAGCTTTCCAAAAAGTGATGCGGAAGTCATTGTTGAGAGACTCTTCTTCTCTCATATTGTCGTAACTTTGGATTGCCAATCTCTTGTTAAAGATCTTAACACTTTCAGATTTAATTCATCATTGGAGAATGTTTTACCTAATGCAATCAAATGGTTGGTCAAATGAATAAATCTTTTCTGGAGAGCAACAATAGATTCTCTAGGCAGCATACGAAACATCTCGTATTCTTGACTTAGTGTGTTCAGCCTTGATCTTTTAACCTCGGAGGTTCCTTCGTGACCCTCCACCAAAGTATCCCAGATTTCCTTAGCTGATATGCATTGTGAAATTCGGAAGAACTCATCCATGCTTAAAGCACTTTGCAAAATATTGATAGCCTTTTTCTCATTTAGGATTTTCTTTTTATCATCATCGTCCCATGAACTTTAAATTTTTGGAGTACTGACACCATTTACAACACTAGTTGGTACATGAGGGCCAGTTTCAACAGTTTCCCATATGCCTTCTCCTTGTGCCTCTAAATGTGCCTTCATGCGAATTTTTCAGAAGTCGAAATATTCACCAGAGAACAAAGGAGGTTTATTACTACTACCGCCATCTTTGAACATCGGATTTGTGCTAGTGGAAGCCATCTGAATCTTTTTAGGAACATGTTAGCTATAACCTGCTCTGATGCCAATTGTAAGTGAAAATGCACCTAAGAGGGGGGTGAATTAGGTACTTAAAATTTTCGGTCTTGTTGTAGGAATCTTGTTTTGCTTTCCTAAAGATTTTCTAAGTGAGGAATGCGGTAAATGCGGAAAGTAAAAGAGACACGACGATATATCCTGGTTCCCCTTACAGCCCGAAAGTACTCCAATCCCCTTTTAACACTAAAGATATTTTTCAATATTTTTTGGTCCTAAGACAAGACTTTCTACCTAGTCTTTCTATACAGACACAAACCAATCAAACCATCAAGAACACACTCTTGAATTTTTCAACTAAGTCCAATGGAAACAATCCTTTCAATATGGATCTCTTGCTTCCAACAATCATGGACAGTAAGGTAACAACCTTATAAACTTAATTCCAACAATCCTGAAACACTAAGTTGAGATTCAAGAAAAAAGATTAAAAAAATTAAAGATCTAAACTTCTAAGAAAGACGAAATCTAAATCTCTGAATAGGAAGAAATTTAAGGACTAATTCAATAAAGGGAAAAGTTTTGAGAAATAAATATTATAAAATAATAATAATAAACAAAAAATAAACTATTTTTTTTAAAAAAATGTACTCATGAAAACTATACCTATTTGATTCAATAAAAGTTAACAAAATCATCAAAATTCAAAAGTAATACTCGTCCGATATAAAATAAGTGATCTATTTAAAATAAAAAATATTTAAATGATCAATTTTAATTTTTAATATATATTTTTCAATTTTATTCTTTAATTAATATTACTTTTATCATTCTTAATAATTAATAAGAGATATTTTAATAGAAACATTATTTTTCTTTTTTTATATATTAATTTTTTTAAGGCAAAATATCCTTCTTGGTCCTTAACTATACCTCGGGGTTCATTTTGGTCCCTTAACTTTAAAAAGTTTCATATTGGTCCTTTAACTCTTCAAATATTTCATATTAGTCCTTTTTGACCTATTAGCGACAGATTTAGCGACGGTTTTTTGATTTTTTTTTTTCCGTTGCTAATAGGTCAAAAAAGACTAATATAGAACGTTTGAAGAGTTAAGGAACCAATATGGAACATTTTAAAGTTAAGGGACTAAAATGAACCCCGAAATATAGTTAAGGGACAAAAAAAATATTTTGTCTTTTTTTAATTTATATAAATTAATCAACTGGACCAATCATTTTGAGACAAGGGACTAATAAATTGCTATCCAATTCCAAAAGTATTATTGCGATCTTTGTATTATTTATTTTTTCTAAGTACCCGTGAAACCGTGTAAGGCTACGCATTCCCAAAATGATAACGTGGATGGAATCAAGAGAATCTCAGCCATTGAAAGAGTGTGATTCATGGTACTATACGGACGGTTACCGGTTACAGTATGTGGTAGTAGGATATGCACAATTCTGCTTTAAACTTTATTTTAACATTTCGGTTAGATATATTGTTCGTGATGTATCGTAAGAGGTTAAAATTAAACTTTTAAACAAAACAGAGCTTTCACTTTGATGTTTTCTACTATGTTGTATGTGAGGATATGATTGTAATTAAACTTTATTTTAGTTGCAATTTACCATTTGTTCTTCTATATTTTACACTGTTTGTCATGACTATGTGTTCTGTGTGCATGTCCATCTTTTGTTCCTTTTGATTATTGCAAAGAACTACTATTTTAAATTAATAAATTTTATGACTATACAATCATTTTTTTATTAAAATATTGTGGCATTATCTGAAAATATGTACCTCTTTTAATTATTGTGTTAAATATAATATTAGTCTCTATTTTAGGTATTATCTCACTCGTTCATTAACGTATACATTGAAACGGTTATATTGCAAATTCACCTTAGCCCCACTGTATCGAAAATTTGTTTTACAACATCTATTATTCAATCTCTATCTATTTTAATTCAACTCAGAATAATTACTAGATATATTTATTTTCATTTAATGAAAAACTATTTATGCTCCAGTCAAATACAACATAAGTTTTTATGAACTTCTTAGATAATAATTTATTGATCCACTTAAATTATTGTCTTTTGCGGTTCGTGATTAGGCTTCTATAATAAAATAAAATTGAAATTCATATTCGTTAACTTTTTTTTAAAAATAAAATTAATATAAAACAACATTGAATCAATTAAGAATTTAATTAATATGTATAGTTAATGCAAAGATTTTTTATACTGTCAGTTAATTTTAACGGCTGATTTATTAAATATTTTTATTTTTTTTAAAACACTTAAAAAATAATATCAACAAAAAGTATGATGTATTTAATAATTAATATCTCCAAATATACAAATATCATAGAAAAGTCAAATGGATAAACATCAAACCAACTATGAGGTGGGTGAGACAGATGAAAATTTCATGCAAATAGGTAATGATGAGCAATTAAAAAATTACATAAGCATCCAAAAACAAAGGATTTAAATCTTTTAAGCAAGTAATGTGAAAATTCGGTTAAACAAACGCTAATCTTGTGAAAATTAAATTTAAAATGAATATAATTTAAGATTTTTGAACCCACATTAAAAATATAATAATATTAACAAACTGTTATATTTTTATAAAATTAATTTTATAAATAATATTAAAATAATATTTAAATAACACAATTAAAAAGTAGTAATTATACTACATTAAAAAAATAAGAATAAAATTAATTTAGAAACAAATTTTATTTACGTCAATTTCATAAGATTTAAAGTAAAACTTACTTATCTATAACATAGTAATAACTCAAATATAAAACAAAAATGTTCAAGAGCCAGACAAAGTTGGAGTATAAAAAAAAACGGCAGTCATAATTATTTACGAAAACAGTATAAATATATATATATAAATATAAATCATTTAAAAAATATATGTAGATTTAAAAACGATGATTCACATCAGGTAGGCAGTCATGATGTTAGTGACAACAGCGCACATAACAATATTCTCTTAACTCACCAATCAGTTTTTGGACTTCCGCTGTCTCATACTCCAACCTTTTCTTCTCTCTCTCCATCAACTCTCAACCTCTTTATAAACCTCTTCCCATACCATTGTTTCTCCCTCACCACACTACACCCATCCTTCCTTTATTACAGATTCTTTCCGATCAATAATAATATACACGAACCCAATTATATAGGAGAGTATTATATTCTTCTCTTCCTCTCAAACATCAACAACACCATGGACATGGATATGGACATGGATGCTATCCATCACCTTGACTTCTCCGGACACAGCAGTACCCTCACCAACACCCCTACTTCCGACGATGGTTATGGTTGCAAGTGGAACCACTGGTCCCCCATCGTCAACTGGGATACCTTCACGGGTGCCCCGGATGACTTTCACCACCTCATGGACACCATCATCGACGACAGAACCACCGTTCTCGACCAGCTCAGTCCAACCACAACTACGACCACAACCACAACCACCGATGAAGAAGAAGAAACAGAAACCACAACCACCACCACAACAACAGAAACAACACAAACAGTTGGCGTTGGCGATGACTTAAAGGGGCTAAAACTAGTGCACCTATTGATGGCTGGCGCGGAAGCTTTAACCGGCTCCACCAAAAGCCGCGACTTAGCTCGAGTGATATTGGTTCGGCTCAAGGAGTTGGTTTCACAACAAGCTAACGGCTCCAACATGGAAAGACTCGCCGCTTATTTCACCGAAGCCCTTCACGGACTACTAGAAGGCGCTGGGGGTGCGCACAACAACAACAACAAACATTACCTCACCACTAGCGGTCCCCACGACAACCAAAACGACACACTCGCTGCTTTCCAACTACTTCAAGACATGTCCCCTTACGTCAAGTTCGGCCACTTCACCGCTAATCAGGCCATACTTGAATCCGTGGCCCACGAACGCCGCGTCCATGTCATCGACTATGACATCATGGAAGGGGTCCAATGGGCTTCACTAATCCAAGCCCTAGCTTCCAGCAACAACAGTCCGCATCTCCGGATCACCGCATTATCACGAACCGGAACAGGACGGAGATCGATTGCCACCGTACAAGAAACCGGCCGCCGTTTAACCTCTTTTGCAGCTTCCCTCGGCCAGCCGTTTTCTTTTCACCACTGCAGGTTAGACTCCGACGAAACTTTCCGTCCTTCTTCTTTGAAGCTTGTTCGAGGAGAGGCTTTGGTTTTCAATTGCATGCTGAATTTGCCTCATCTTAGTTACCGTGCACCTGATTCGGTTGCTTCTTTTTTAAACGGAGCAAAGGCTTTACACCCGAAGCTCGTGACGTTGGTGGAGGAGGAAAATGGATCTGTTGTCGGTGGATTCGTGGAGCGGTTCATGGACTCGCTTCATCATTACTCAGCGGTGTTTGATTCGTTAGAGGCTGGTTTTCCGATGCAGAACCGAGCCAGGGCTTTGGTGGAGCGAGTGTTTTTCGGGCCTCGAATTGCGGGTTCTTTGGGTCGGATATATAGAACAGGCGGAGATGAGGAGAGAAGGTCGTGGGGGGAGTGGTTAGGTGCGGCGGGGTTTAGAGGAGTTCCGGTAAGCTTTGCGAATCATTGCCAAGCGAAGCTGTTGTTGGGTCTTTTCAACGATGGGTATAAGGTAGAAGAGGTGGGTGTGGGTAGTAATAAGTTGGTGTTGGATTGGAAAACAAGGCGGTTGCTTTCTGCATCCGTTTGGACTTGTTCTTCAGATTCTGATTCATAGGTTGCTAATGATTAGTGTTAATCTAGTAGCTAAAGAGTTGATGATTCATGAGTGTGCCTTCTAATTTCTTTGATTTACTACTGACCCTCCAAAATGGAAACAATATAGAATTAGAATGTGCCATGTTAATTTCCACTTATGGTAGTTTTTGATCGTTGAAGGATCTAAAATTTTGTTGACAATTCTGTGACCTATGTTTGATGGTGCGTGCGCCTTGGTGTGTAAAAATTACTATGTGAATTTAATTTTATAAAGTTGATTTTAATTTCTTGCTGGTTTTGAACTAGAGTTTTTGTTTCTTGTAAAGAAAAAAAAAAAACTACAGTTTTAGAATCCAAGTAATTACTAGATCTACAAATAAATATTTGAAAAACCGGGATAAATATTTGAAAGTCCTATTGGCTATTATACATTCTAGATAATTTATTGGTTTTGATATACACGTTTTCAAAATAGTTCGCCTCAGCTTAATAAACAAAGCAGTTAAGTTAAATAAAACATATTAAATGGTTATGAATTACCTATTGCAGACAAGGGAATATGGAATTTGAATACACTTAATTTCCTCAAAGAGATAAGGGAATCAACATTCTAATTACCATCCTAATTACCAATAAATTGGTCGATTAAGATATAGAAGTGAGGAGATCCTAGATAAAGGGATCACCGGGGGGAAGAGATAAAAAAATATCTGATAGAAGGTTCTCATTGGTCTTTGATGGGACTAAAAATGAGTCTTGATTGATCTCACATCCGCGAGACGGTACAATGTTGTTCTTTGCATGAATAGGTGGCATTCTTCGTGGGACTTAGTAAAACTAACATGAGCCACACAAATATAATTTTTTAACACCACTATCATAAGAGGTTTACAGACGAGGATGAGTACCGAGACCATATTTTTGCGTCGGCCAATGATATTTCCTCGTTAACCCTCACGATTTAGAACACAAAAGGTAACAACAAAAAAGAAGCATAATTTGGTAAAAGGTAGCCGACAATGCTTCTAAGAAGCTCATCTATGTCGCCTAAGTTCTAAAATTCATATATGTTACGTCCTCGATTTCACTATCAAGTTCACTATTGTTGGTTTTAGTTTAATGAACAAATTGACTCAAAAACTTTCGAGGACCGATTTCTCAATACTTCCTAATCGGAAGCCTTGCGGTGCTCGTTCCAGATCGGCATCATGAAGTTTCGTATTATTTTTTGGGTCCTAGTCGGGATAATGTCGCACCTCGAAAAAATTCATTCGAACATACGACCCTCACGCGAAAGGCGCGGAAATGCGGTTCGACAGAGTCGCCACCGAACTTTATTTTTCCCGAATAAACGGGAGAGGAAAATATCGAGAAAACCTCTTGAAAACGAAAGGATAGGAACAGGGCTGTCGCAGCCAAGTTCCGGGTTCGGGAGTCGGTTACGTGACGGGAAGGTATTAGCACCCCTCACGTCCGTCGTACTCGACGGGAACCTCTTAAGGTAATTATGGGGAGTGTTGTTTAGGTTTACTTGTTTTCTTCTCGTTGTTAAAGGTAGAATTGGTAGGGTAAAAGGTTAAAGACGCAAAGGAGAGATGGGTGGATAGAGGATAGGGTGCTCGCCAAGGATTGGGGCCCTTGTGCCTACGTATGCTCATTCGGACGAGAATGAGAAATCAGAGCGTCGTAGTTCGACTACGGGAAAGGATGGGGGGAAACGGAATATGGATAGAAGTGTGCTCGCCAAGATCATCGCAATCTTGTGCCTACGTATCTTATATTCAAGAATGAATAAAGAATCAGAGCGTCCGTAGTTTGTGGTAACAACCACGAAAAGGTGAGGTTTGAATGGGTTGAAGTTTGAGTTTGAGACGAAAGGATGACTGACAAGCAACCCAAAAGCGCGTCTCAAGAGCTTGTCACTCAAGAATCCAAGGAACGCGAGACTCCAAGAACTCAGTTCTTTCAGGAATTGACTGAATAGGTTGAAGATAAAGAGTTGGGTGTTTTTGAAATCGAAAGAATAAGTTAATAACAACTCAAGGGCGCGCCTCGAGAGTTACTCATTCGAATATCCAAAGAATGCTAGATTCTAAGAATATCCCTCTTTCGCAAGTTTTTTAAAAATGTTTGTGGAAGGATCGAATCGAAGAATGGCATGCAAGGCCAACAATGAAGTTGTTTTGAAGTAGTTCGACGACGTGTCGAAGATTTGATCGAAGTTTGAATCGACTTGACGACGTGTCAAGGGTTAGGATTGTGAGAAACGATATTAGTCCCTGAGGGTGCTCCTAATATCGAGACCACGAGGAATTGTGAATGAAATGGGTTGCGAATGCGGACGAGCATTCGACTTAGGAGAATGTTTGAGAATGTTGGAATTTGAAAGAGTCGAAAGGTTGAGTGAATAACAACTCAAGAGCGTGCCTCGAGAATTATTCACTCGAAGACACAAGGAATGCTAGATCCCAAGTACCTCCTTCTTTCGGAGTTTTAATAGAGAAAATATTGAGAAAAAAAAAGTTTGAGAAAATCAAAAGATTGAGTGAATAACAACTCAAGAGCTTGCCTCGAGAATTATTCACTCGAAGATCCAAGGAATGCTAGATTCCAAGAATCTCCTTCTTTTGGAGTTTGATCGAGAAAATGTTTTAAAAAATGATTTGAAGCGAAAATGAAATAGTCTCGACTAAATTATCATCCATCAATAATTTGACCGATAATAATTATTAAAGTCATCATTGACTAAAGAATAAGAAGAAAAAAGGATAATGAAAGTTTTGACAACAAAATGGTCTCGGGTTTGTTATTATTCGTCAATAATTTGACAAACTATAACTCGGGGTATCGTCATCGACCAAAACGGAGAAAAATGAATAAAAAGTTCAATAACAAATACAAAAGAAAATCCAACTTTTAAAATAAAAGCATAAACAAGTTCTAAATTAAATATATAACAAAAAAAATCTAAATGAAATAATAAAAAAAAAACTAACGTTGTTCTAAAAAACCATGTATAAAAAACATATATATAGTTACAGTCTGTTCTTTATATAAAAAACTAATACATAAACATATTTAAACAAATTTTTTAAAAAAAATAATATGCTAACAAATTTCTTAAAAAAAAAAAAACAAAGAGTTAAAACAGTGGGATACGAGTGATGTATTGTGTAATGGACGGTGAAAGTAACGAGTGAACCAAAACCCAATGCTACCTCAAAGAGCCTGATCCGAAACAAAGTATAGCTCCATCACACTTCATCCACCAACATTGAATGGCATCATTTCACAACATTGAAACATGGGACGACATCTCGCTTCAACTCCCTCACTTGTCTCATTCAAACGTTAATCCTAATTCTTCTTCTCATCTCCCTTCTATTCATTTCAATCACGCAGGTTCACTAATCACCCAATCTTTTACTTCTTCTGTTTAGATTTGATTTTGTTCTGGTGGAGGTTTAGTTGTTTTAGGGATTATGGAGGTTTAGGTATGGAGGAGATGAAGAAGGTTTATGGGGTTTCGCGGGTTGTTGTTGGGAATGGTTGAAGGGATAGAACGAGAGTGTGCTTCCGGCGAATGGGTTTTCGGATGGTGATTTTGCGGTGGGTTTCGTAGTTCGAGGGTTAATGGCAGAAGGTGGATTTAAAAGGTGATGATGATATAATTTCTAGGTTTCGGATATGGATTGAAGGGTTTCCTTTGGTTCTGGGTGAGGAAGAATATTGATGAAGTTTTAAGATTGAAACCAGTAAGAAAAAAAAACGGAAGGGATTGAGGGTTGAGTTTCGGAGGAACTTGGGGATCATTGATGTTGGTTCGAAGGTTTAGAAGATCTCAGTCTGCTTTAGAACTTCTCTGTCATGGTTTTCTGTGTTGAAGGTGAACTGGTTTGAAGAAAGCTAGAGGGGTTTGAACAGTTTCAGTTGTATATTTGTGTATGGTTTTTTTGGTTGTTGAACAAAGAGGAAGGAGTTGGTTTTAAGATCTGTCACAGTGGGTTGATGGTTGATGATGAGTTGAAAGGTTCGTGGACTTAGAGCAGGTTGAACATACGAGGATTTCTTTAGGGTTGGAAGGATTTTTAGGGTGGTTTTTATGAGGTATCAATTTTGTAGTGGTGAAGAGTTGTTGAAATGAAGTTGAAGAAGGGGAGGGTTGTGGGAGATTTGAAGCTTCATTCAAGCTGCAGGGTTAGGTTGCCTTGAGGTTGAAGCTTAGGTTTGCTGAAGATTAAAGAAGAAAAGAAAAACTGAAGGTCGATTGTGCTTCGGCTCTTGGTTTCAAGAGTGGTGACTGAAGGTTGTGGAGCATTGGTCGAGAACTGAAGAAAGTTTAAGGTTGGAATTGAATTCTTTCAGCATCAACTTCGCTCCCCCCTTTTCAATGAGTATGGGTTCTCATTTATAACGTGAGTGAGGGCATAACAGGATTTTTATCTGAAATTATTGCAGTTGTTTCTTGCTGATTTTGTGGCTTTCGTACCCTTCAGTGCTGTTACAACTTGTGCATTTTATAATCGTGGTGTGTGTATTTTCTGGTGTAGAATGGACCTGTCCTTTTTCTCTTAATTTGCAGGTTATTGTCTGGTGTGGAATGGTGCAGGTAGTGTAAAAAAAAGTCATGGTTGGTTGGGAATTGGTTTGTTTGAAAACCGTACCATAGTGTACTGCTAGCAGAATCAACTCTCCTTTGTGTACGTATGAAAATGACCTGTGCATAGGCTTCAAAATTGTCATTCTTGCAATTCCTTCAATATTGATTTATTACATTTGGTGTATTGTGGATGCCATTCACTAGTTGAGTTTTTTTTCACTTTGCAGGTTGTGGATTTAATTGCAACATTGCATGATTTTGCTTCATACGACATGGGCACAAAATGAATCATGGGTAATATCCATACCCTCTTCCTTGTGAGTAACGACTATGTGCCTTGTTTGAGTGTGTATTGATTGTGCAATTTTGTCCTGGTGATAGGCATGGTTTTGAGGCTGGCTCGTATAAGTTGTGGTGCA